TCTGCGTGGTGCCTACAAAATGCAGTGTCCTCTTATCCACATCTTTCTGTCAGGCCCGGTGATCTTATGGATGGTTATATACCTGCTGCAGGAGTTCTGGTCTCAGATTCACTCCTGCCTTGCAGAGATTTGTTCGTACCTGCTACAACAGCCACTACGATCACAATGGCGGAACGTATGCGATCAGGCCCCTGCTGTTGCCACAGTGCTTTTGTGTGGTACATTTGTTGCCTGGCATGCTACCCGACACACCTGTCAATGGAGTACATACTTTGTGCAAACTGCCTTCTCTTGGATGCGATACCTGCACTCTTGGTGCTGCTATGCATGTGGATGCCTCTATTCATACACGAGAGTCTACATCAGGTTACTCGGTACCACTACACTCCGACACACCCCCCCACCAGTTCGCTATTGCCGCCCCGGTCCCAAGTCCGGGGGCCCCTGGGGACTATGGATGCTCATCCTACTGTCTCAACTTCTTAGAGTCTCAGGGGTAGAAGCGAGGGTTGGAGCACCTTCGGTGGGTGCTCCGGGAGCCGCGCAAACGGTGCTCCCTGGTCGCCATCAGGCGAAGCTACACCGACAACGCAAAGAACAAGGAGACTTTATCGTCAAACGTAGTTTTCTCAGAGCACAACGTCGATTGCAACAGCATGGGACCACATGGTATCGCAATCGCTTATTCACACACCACGATGAGCTAAAACCTATACCGCTCCGTTCCGGTCCACAGCCGAATGATCCCAATCAGGCTCGGTATGCCCGGCCTCGCACTGCTGTGCCAAACCTGCCATCCTGGCCACTTCAGCAGCCTGCACAATCTGTTACTCCCATACAGTCCAGTGATGTTGGCGTGGTTACTCTTAATGTTGGCGGCTTGAGCAAGGAAGGATATGACGAATTGGCACAATGGTTGAATCAACCATCTACACTTCGCAATGTTCAGATTGTATTCTTGCAGGAGACCTGGCGAAGTGCATCTGAATTCTCCACGCAGCACTGGCACTGGATCCTGTCAGGTGCCGGTCAAACTGCCAAGGCCAATAATGGCAGTGGTGTAGCTGTACTGATCAACAACAAGCTTGCCTCATCGTCACACATTCGCTACCAAGAATGGCTCCCAGGCCGTCTCCTCGAGGTTCGCATTACGGAGGACAAGCGACGTCCTCTTCTGCACAGACCCATCACCCTTGTGTGCGTGTATCAACACTCCAGAATCTCTCACAGTCCTGAGGTGTACGCTAAACGGCTCAGGTTCTGGGAGAAGCTCCAAAAATGCCTGGATGCAGTGCCGACACGGCACACCCTGATCTTTGGTGGTGATATCAATACTGGTATCTCCCCGATGTCGAGGCTCGTCGGCAAAGGTGCTCAAATCAGTACCAACCCTGCTCAGGACCAATCCGAATGGCAGGACATTGTACAACAGCACCGTCTTTGTCTTCTGAACACCTGGGGATCGCCGGCCAAAACTGCTACATATGTGGGTGCGGAATATTCTACACTGATTGACTTCCTGGGTGTTAGAGAGAGAGATTCCGGGCATCGCGCCAAACTATCCAGACCACAATCACAGATTCACTTGTTTTCTTGGCGGTCTGGGGCCCGACACCTGCCTGTGTATTCGGTTATCACTCTCAAGAATCCGTATCATCAAGCAGTGACATCCTCGACACAGTCCCACACAGCCCGTATGGACCATCTAGGCATGGCTCACACACTGCTGCACGATCCTCAACAAGTAGAGCAATTGCGCAGTGTTGTCAGAAACCGGCTGACTTGTGCTTTACAGGACCAGCCCGTGGATGCAATTATGCACCCTATGCACATTGACGCCATCCTGAGACACGGATCCCAAGAACTCTTCCCGGGCACACGCCTCGGCTCTCGTCCGACGGAAGTATGGGATAACGAACAGACTAAGCTCTCGCTGAAACATGTTTGGCAGGCACGTGCGCAGCTTCGCCGACATACCCTTGGGCCTCCACTTCGTGTTGCCTTTCATCTATGGCGTGCTCATTGGCGACTTGTCAAAGCCCGCAAAGCGCTGCATTCGCAGTCTAACAAAGCGCGACGTGATAAATGGGACCAACAGCTTACCGAGGCGGAGGAGGCCTATCACAAGCATGACTCTCATTCTTTCTTTGCTATTGTGCGTAGACTTGCACCACGTCGTCCACGACAGCGCATTATGATGCGTAACAAGGATGGCACACTATGCACACCACAGGAAGAAATCGGGCTGATTCATGACTACTGGCGCGGTGTATTTGATGTTCCGACACTCCCTAAATGCTCCGGCTCTCTGTGGCATGGCCTCAACATTACCACAAAGGAGGTGGAAATGGCCATCAGCAAATTATCAATGCGTAAAGCCTCGGCCCCAACCTCGGCTCCGCTCTGCAGCTGGCGTGCTTGTGCTCCTGACATTGCTCCTCTTACACAGGAATATTTGGCACAGCATTGGGGTGAAGGAGAACATGCAGGTGACGAGGACATTGCTAGGTCCTGGCTTGTCTTTCTGGGCAAGCCCAATAAACCCAGCAGCAAGCCCGAAAACCTTCGACCTATTGCTCTACAACCGGCTCCTGCCAAAATCATGGCCCTCCTTTTACGCTGGCGACTGCAACCGTATGTGGAGCAGCTGCTCCACCAATGTCCACAGTATGCATACACCAGAGGAAGAACCACTACGGATGCAATATCCCGTATTGCCCAACACTGTGATTCTGTTCGAGCCAAAGTCAAACAGCAGACACTTTCACTCCATGAACGACGACAGGGCGCTGTACGAACCGTATGCACCGGTGGTGCTCAGCTGACTGTTGATTGCTCCAAAGCTTTTGACAGTTTACCTCGTAGCACTATGATGACCATGTTAACATGGGCTGGTGTACCACCCGACTTGGCCACTGCTATCATACAGGTCCATCAGGCTGGCACTTATGGATAACCTCAACTTGTTGACGGTCCTGTCTTGTTTCGGCTTACCTCCTTGAACCCCCCCCCTCTGTGTGTGTGTGTGTGGGTGGATGGGCACTTGGTGCGTCGACAGTGACAAAACAAAACATTACGAGGAATCCCTCTATTTGTAGTTTTGATAAAGAAAGATTTTATGTTTTATGTTTTCTTTTCATGTTTTCCTTTTTCACAGTTCCATGTTTGCTTTGACGTACACTCTGGAATGCAGAAGATTGTTGCAAAACATGGGCAGCATTGTGCTCAAGGAGCACAAAATTTTGTTTCAGGGCAGGGGGGCGCTGGTGCTTAGTACCTTCGGGGAACGGCACTGGCTTCCACTCGTGTCGTGCACTCAGCATGGATGCGACGTCCGAAGACGAGTCATGGCCTGTGGATTCCCCTGCTTTGTCAGAGTCATCCAAAGAGGAGGTCTGCGTCGAGGAACCTGCGCCTACTGGCGCTGATGAGCTCTGGCCTCCTTTGACTGTGACCGATTTGCAGACGGTGCAATGTGAGTGGTCTCGCAGGCATAACCTGTTGGCCGAAGATGTGGCTGCCTTGGAGTTCCAAGTGCAGTCCCTCAAGGATGCAAACACAAGTCTCCGCAGGGAGTTGGCTGCCACTCAAGATGCGCTGGCGGAAGTGAGTCACGCATTGACCTGTCTCGCCTTGGAGGTTCGTGGCCAATCTAGCTGAACAGCTTCCACGAGCTCTCTGGACTGGCCCTGCGCTCTGCAGCTCTTTCGTCATAGCTGCTACTTCAGTTTTGTTGCGAGGGCAGAACCGCCCCCTTTTTCATGCAGGTGCCCCGCTTACTGCAGGCGTGTTTACACATCCAGGTTCGTCATCGATTCTCCAGTGGGACCTGCATGTTAGGGGCTTATGCTGGCTAAGACCAGCTCAACTCTCAAGCTTCGGTCTGTGTGACAAAAGGCGGCCTGAGCCTCATATCTTTGGCAGCTTTTGGCATGAGTTGCTGCAGATTTTTGACATGTAAACGTCATTTTGCATGGTCGCTGCATGGCACTCATGTTCTGCATTGAGCTTCGACTCTGCGGCATCACTTTCGGTGTGCTGCTTCAGATCTGCTGAACTTGCCGCGATTGCAGGTTTTGAGGCTCCTTCTGCTAGAAGGGTGAGATCAGGAGCAGACCACTTGACGGCTAGGGAACAGTGTCGCTCCTCATGGAAACGACCTTGACCCGTCGAGCAGTCTGGATCCATGAAAGCTTCGAGTTGCATCGGCCTCATGTCTCATTCCGCACCGCTGAGTTTGCTCATCGTGCCGCTTTTGAAAAATTTCGTGAAAACCTCCAGAAATCCCAGGAGCCGTTGGCCGAACAATTGAACCGAGAGGCCTGGGCTCGTCATGACATTTGCGAGGATGATGCTGCTTCTCTGACGCCTTCGGAGTCTGGAGATGCCGGTGAGGAAAGGGCTCCTCAGATCATCTTTGCTAGTCTTTCGGATGAACGCAAGGAGGCTTTGGCTGCCGGGTGCAGCCTGACAGCACCGACGCGAATCATGCATCGCGCTCCTTCTGGGCGCAAGCGCCCGGCGAGCTCCTCCAATTCGGACCGAGGCCATGGTCATTGGCTGCGCGGCCTTAGTGGCCGTCTTGATGACGTCGAGGGCTTCTGTGGGTCAATCATCGACAATAATTTCTCTCGCAGCCTTCATGCTCGCCTCCTCCGTGTGGAGCGACTGCTGAGTGTGCCCGAACCTTCTAATCCATTAGGGCATTCTCCGTGAGATGCATGCAGCTAGCAAACCAGCATTGGTGCCGCCTGCCATGAGAAATCTTCAGAACTGCTTGTCTGCAGGAACACTTGTGCTTCTATCAGCGTCGTGCCTGTGCCTGTGAGGTCTTGACGGTTTCTAGCCGTTTGCAGGATCCTAGACCTCCATAGCGTGCCGAGGGCACTCTGCATTCGCGCTCCGCAAGGTGCGCCTGCCTGTGCTCTCCCGCTTGCTGTGCAACTTCAAGTTCTTGCAAATTGCCGAAAAGTGGGGCTTAAGTTCTAGGCATTAGGGTAATGGAGTTGCTGCGCGCCGAGCAGCATCAGAAGAAGAGACCCAAGCATGCTTGGGAGCAGGAGCCTCGGGGCATTGCGACCTTTACATCGGTCTCGATGGGGGCCTCATTCAAGTTGGGCCGTTCTGAGCACATGCTTTGGGAGCTCAGGGCTCAGCAAGGATTGAAGCAGGTTGATGCGATCGAGAATGTGAAACTTCCAGTGCTCCCATACGCAGCTAGGAGGGCGAAGATGATGGATTGGCCTGAGATAGCTGATGATATGAAGAGGAAGTCGTTGCACCTTGTTAGGATCATGGTGGAGTCTGATTTCCACGCCACGAAGCTCGGGACCATGCTTTACGAGCTTAGCGGGAGCCTCGACAAGGAACCTCAGATCCAAAGGACCATCGAGCTCACCTTTGCCAAGAAGGCCGCTGCTACCCTGCATAAAAGGACTCTGGCATTTTGGAAGATGTTCGTGTTCCACGTGGATCGGGGCCACAAGTCGGGGCTGCATATGAGCGAATCCAGCATCTTCTTGTACTTTGAGTCGCTGCAGGGTGGGTCTGCAACTGCTCCTCAAAGTGCCCTTGAATCGATATTCTTCATGCACACCCTCCTGGGCATCAAGGCGCCGATAGAGGACCTGGTGTCGCATCGCATCCGGGGCTTGGTCCACGAGGCTGCCATAACGAAGAGACCCTTAAAGCAAGCGAGGGGGCTCACGGTGGAGGAAGTGCGATTTCTTGAGAAGCTTGTGGCGAAAAGCCCAGACACGGCCGTTGTGTGCATGGCAGGGTTCTTCCTCTACGCACTCACCAATAGCGCAAGGTGGGGTGATGCCCAGGCATCCACCTTGCCAACCATCGATGCCTCGGGGTCTCGGCCGGTCCTGAGTTCTGGGACGCTTCGGCACAAGTTGGCCAGCACAGCTGAGAGGAAGACCACTTTGCTTCCTTTTGTGGGGTTTGGTCAACTGGTCACAGGAACTGCCTGGGCACCGAAGTGGCTTGATGCCATGAAGAGGGCACGCCTGCCTAGGACTGGTGTGGACTACATGCTGCCCTCGTGGAATGAATCTTCCAGCCAGTTCATCCGGAGGCGGATGACGAGCGGGGAGGCCACTCTCCACTTGCGCGAGATCCTTAGTCAGATGGAGCATCCGCCGCTGCAACCTTTGCCATCGTCGCATAGCTTGAAGGTGACGCTGCTGGCTTGGATGTGTAAGTCAGGGCTCTTTTCCTTGTCCGAGAGACAGATCATTGGGCATCACCTTGATCGGCCGAGCACCAGCGCACTTACCTACGGGAGGGCTAACTTCGTGGGCCCTTTGGGAAAGGTGGCGGGCATGCTTACAAAGATCCAGGATGGGTCTTTCAGGCCGGATGCTTCTGCGGCTGATCTGATAGAGCAGCAGCTTCATCAGGAAGAGGTGGCATCGGACGAGTTGGAAAGGAAGCTGCATGGTGCTCCCTGTGCCTGCGAGGACAGTGCCTCAGATGACATGGGGCACGATGATGCGGATCAGGCGGTGTCTGCAGCGGTGCCGGCGGCTGAACGCCGCATGGTGGAGGCTCCTGATCCGGACCAGTATTTGGTCCACCTGTCCTCGGGTACGCTTCATGCACTGGACCCGGATTCTGATAGATTCCGATGTGGGAGGCCGAAAACACCGAATTACGTCAGGCCGAAGGCTTCCACTTCAAGCCCATACCCCTTCTGTCTGGTGTGCCAGCGTGCACAGGACGCAGGGGGTCAGGCAGCGGCTGCGAGCTGAACTGTGTCAGTGTTACTTGTGTCTGGGAGCTAATGCAGGACGGCATCGCAAGTGAAACTTGTAATGCCTCCATGCTGGGCCGTCGAGCCTGGCAAGGTTTTGTCTGCATCCTCCCTAGTGCGTGAGCCCCACATAGCTGACCGAAGTGTGGACAGCAGCGAAGCCCGGGCTTGCCCGAAGATAAGCTGCTTGGGGACCGCGCCGTCGTGCCGACCAAACACCTTCGGGGCTGGGCTTATATCTGGCAGCGAAGCCCGGAAAGACTCTGAAGATGAGCTGCTGGAATTTTTGGGCCGTCGTGCCATGGACGGCCTCTGGGAGTCTCGGAACCCGGGAAAAAGCCGACGTCGTGCCTGCACGGAACTGGCCAGCGGATCAGAAGCTGCTGGTTGCGCTCATGTCCAGGTCCCATGTCCGTGGACTCGCAGGCGGCCTTCAGGGCGGAGGCGATTCGCCTCGGGGTGTCTGAGGCGCATGCCGACTTGCTCATCACGAAGGGCATCCGCACGCACTCGCTGTTCGCCTTCATCTCCAGCTACCAGCCGGGTGCCAGTGACGAGAAGCCGTTCGTGGATGCATTGGTTGCCAAGCTTGGTGAGGAGGCTAAGGATTCGTTACCAGCCTTCCGGCACTTGTTCTACACAAGCCACACGCTAGCGGTCCAGGAGCTCAAGGACAAGCTTGAACCTCGTGAAGAAGCCAAACGCCTCTCTATGGCAGACAGAGTGGATCGCCTAGAGAGGCTCAAGAAGGCGCTGGTGGGATTCACGATTGACACGTGGTTGGAGCCTAGCCACTCCTTGGTGGACAAGGCCGTTGGCTTTGCGGAGGAGGGGTGTCTGGGACCCTTGGAGCTTTCCCGCTGCACGTCGCGGGAGGCGGAAATGAGGTCAGAAAAACGTGACCCGGAAACTTTCCGCTTGGAGAAGCTGAACATCAAGGTCACGAAGCCCCCCACGACCTTGACAGCTGACACGTCCAGTGACCTACATGTTCGGACTTGTATGCAGCGTCGTGCTCTGGCATTCCACATGGCCGGCATTGCTACGTTCGTGGCGCTCGATAAGATCATCTCTCGCTTCTTCGGCTACATGATGCGCCCAGTGTACCCAGGACAGCAGCCGGTGACCCTGAGCCAGGTCGTGGACGCCGACAGAACGCTTTGGGTCTTGGTTGCGCAAGAGACTCGGGGCAAGGTCCTGACATCCGGGACTCCATTGCCGATTGATGCCGCTGTGGACGCCTTCAAGGACGCTCCAGACGTTGCTTTTGCCTTGATGCCCCGCACTAAGGGGTCAGTGCCTCCGCCTCCGAAGCCGTCTCCGACTGCTGGAGCTGAGGCGATGAGCCGTGCCAAGCGCCGCAGGCTTCAGAAGGCGGCCAAGTCCAAGCCGATTGCGGATTCAGCACAGCCCGGCAAGCCGTCGGCAGGCGGTTCGAAGGGAGGCGGCAAGGGCATTGATATACCACCGGGGGCGAAGACTCGCGATGACCAAGGCAGGCCAATCTGCTTCCGTTACAATCGCAAGGCTTGTGACCAATCCAAAGAGAAGTGCCAGCGCGGCTATCACGTGTGTTGGTTCTGCCTGAAGAACCACGCAGGGGTGGACCACAAGGAGTGACTAGGGGCACAAGCCCTGCCTGGGCCCTCCGGCACCCAGGCCATAGCTTTTGGACCGGAAAAGTTTTCCGCAGTGGGGCATTCTCCCACCGACCTTCACTGCGCCGAAGTTCTTGCAAGTTCTTTCAGCTCTCCGCCTACGGCGAAGCAGCTCCTTTCACTTTTGGATGTGCTGCCACCTGAAGTACCTGCCCGCGGACGACCGGGCGATTTCTCGTGGACCACGGGATCGTGGTCGAAAGATGGTTGCTACGGCCTTCGCCGCCACAGCCACATGTTTCCGACGGTTACATCTGCCCTGACGGCGTATGTCCGAAGCATCGCTCCTGAGCATACCTTTACAGCGGTGGCACTTTTTGCAGATCTCCAAACAGCGCCCCATCGTGATGTGAACAATGCCGTGGGGGCTCCTAACCTCTTGCTGCCGCTTACTGAGTTCCAGGAGGGTCAGGTCTGGCAATATCACGAAACGGGGCCTTCCTGGTACTAGCTTCACCCCTTGCGCTCGGTGGGTCGGGAATCGGTTCAAAGGCTGTTTTAAGCATAGGCAACTGACGACATAGTCAAAACAACTCAAATCCAGCTTGGTTGGTCCAAGGCCACTGGCAACATGGTTAAAAATCCCTTTGCTTATGCTTTTTCAAACCAAATGTCATCAAACATGGTCCACAAACTGGGCATTTTTTTGCACCCATGCTATTTTTGAAAATAAAAGATTTGTAGGACACCGGGTTCAGGCTGGAGGTTTAGGCAGGGTGCCGATTAGCGGCCGGCTGCGACCCGCACCCGCCTCTTCGTGGCGCAGCCGACTAGTACCCCAGACGGGGGAAGCTAAGAGGTGCGAAATTCCACGAGAATGAAATTCGAAATTCAATACCTTTGCTACTTTGAAAGAGAAATCATTTGTAGGAGGCCTGGGCTGGGGTTTAGGCTTAGGCTGGGAGGGGTGGCCGGGTCGGGAGTCGGGAGGAAGCAAGGGGGACCGGGATGGAGTGGATGGAGGTTTCGGGATTTAGGGAGGGACCAGAGGACCAGGAGTCAGGGACCAGGGACCAGGGAGGAAACCCTGAGGCTTGAGGAAACCGAGGGCTGCGAGAAGCGTCGATTCACGACTCGTGTTTTTCGGCTCAGGCCAGTCAAAGACAAAAGAGCAGAACTGACTGCAAAACTAGAACTTAGCACGAAAGAGCAGAATCAGAATTGCAAAACTAGAACGTAGCAGTCAGCTGTCAGCAGATCGTTCTCGGTTCTCGGGATGTTCGCTGTGTGGCTGCATGGTTTTCCAGACAGTTGGCGGCAAAGCCAGGTGAACACAAAACAAGTAGATGTTCAGGCTGCCCAGGAAGGCCGGAGGCTTCGGATTCGGCTTCCGCTGCCTCAGCCAGATTGGTTCAATGCTAAAGTGAAGCAGCTTGGTCCAAAACTTAAACCAGATGTGTTACAGGATTCGGAGACCCGAATCAAGGTTCAAGCTGTGGCCTTGGTGCAAGCACGTTCTGTGTGGCAGGGGCCCTTGACACGTTTGTCAGAGGAAGAGCAACATGGGCATGAGTATTATCGTTTCCCCATGGATTATTTTTCTTTGCAGATCATGGATTGCCAGAAGCTTTCTCAGCCTTTCATGATTCAAAGTGCAAAGATCTGGAGGCAGCTGCGCCGCGATGCGCGTGGGATAGTCTGCCCTAGAGACCTTGGTAAGTACATCGTTGGCATTGCCGATAGGACTTTGCCTTTCCATCCCTATGCACCAGGCATTAATCTGTCGCAGATGCAGTTGCAGGCACAACCTCCGTTGTCAGTCGCCCAGTGGCGCTTGAATCACAGAATCCCGGGCGGGGCTAAAGACGTTGAAAACATGTTGGTCGTGCCTATGCCACACACACTGTTGCAGCTTGTGCTACATGGTTCATGGCACACAATTTCGGCGCTTGGCAGGTGGACCATTTTGTTAGATGAAATTCCGTCAGTAATGCAGCAGAAGGTAGGCCCAGCAACCGCGCATGTTCCTAATGCAGAAGACGGTGCACTGAGTCCTGCTGGTCTCACGGATCTGGTGCGAAAGATTCAATCTTGGGCCCCCCGCTTGCTGCAAAGTGCGGCAAATGATGATGAGAGGGCAGATCTGCAAATGGAGCTGGAGGGTTCCGTGAGGTGGCTTTCCTGTGTGAGGGCGGCTTTGGTTCCACCTACAGAGGTCCTCGGAAGCAAGTTCGCGTACTCTTCTATATTTTTGGTGAAGATGATGGTCTTGACCCGTTTGATACCTTCATATATACCGTTTAAAGAGATTGCAGCAGGGGCCCTGGAATTGCTGTTTCCGCAATTGATGCAGCATTCTATTCAGCATCTGTTGCAGGCCAAGCATGTGTTTCCTTCAAGCGCCTATAAGCATTACACCAGATTGGCCCTGGACATGGCTCTGCTTCTTTGGAGGCGGGACCTCGAGTCAGAGTCTGTAGTGGGAGATGCAGTAGTAGGTGGCTTAGGCGGCAGGGATTTTAGTGCGACCCGGCATGTCCGGTTCACAGGAGCAGATTCATCGCCCCAACTTGGCAACAATTGGCTGAACAGCGCTACTGTGTCCATCAAATCTGATGAAGTGCTGACAGTGTTTCATGCTGTTCAACGAATGATCGTTGATTGTGGTATTCGCCAAAGAGATTCTGATTGGGAGCAGTCGGAGAGATCCATGAACGACCATGTCATCGTGCTTGAAGCTTTGCAACACATACACGACATTCCGGTTGCCCTAGGCAGCTCTGCGGAATCCACTGCCAACAAATGCGCTGCAATGTTGCACAAGTGGGCAGTGCTTCTGGGGGACAGACGGAAGTTGCCAGAATACACTGCAAGTGTGTTTTCGTTTTGTTCCGATATGGGCACAGAGCTAGGTATAGGAAAGTTCCAAGTTCAAGATCTGGAAACTTTGCTGCCAGAGTGGTTCCTTCCCAGCACCCAGGAGCCCGACTTGATGCCAGGGTTCGTGCAAGGGCTCCCCCAGCCCCAGCCTGTGCCGCAGCAGGAGGACATGGTTTTAGAGGATGATTTAGCAGGGCTCTCCCCAGCCCCAGCCGTTGCCGCCCCGGATCCCGAATCTGAACCTCAGGCTCAGCCCCAACCCGATCAAGGCCTGGCAAGGAATGAAGAAGGCAACTTTTCATTTTTGCCGAATGCACTTGCGGTACCGGGTCTGCTACACATAGTGAACAACGCTTTGGAGGAGGTTACTGGGTCTTTGGCTCATTGGGAGGCATGGTTTCAGCAATTGCAGCAGTTTGAGGCATTGTGGTCATGCGGTCGCTTGAAGCGGTTTGTGAACTACTGTGTTCGCCCGTCACCTCTGCATCACCTCGCTGAGGAATTCCTTAGCCTGCAGCTAGGCAAGCTCTACATCCATCGCTGGGGTGCTGTTGTTGCATTCTGCAAAAAATTGAGTCAGTTACTCCCAGCTATCAGGAGCTGCTGGAACCAGGCAGCGTTCATGCAGAATGCTGAAGATGCAGGAAACAGAGCGAGTGCTTTCGACATTGACAGTTTTTCTGAAACGTTGCAGGACAATTTGTTTTTCGCTTATTTCGACATGATTCTTAAGCTTAGCGGAATCATAGACGGTGTTGCACACTGGGCCGAATCATGCCCGTGTCACGATGACTGTCTGCTTGCGCAGGGAGATTATTTGCTTTTGCATCGCAGGGACCGTAGAGTCAGGCATCGTGCTCAGACCCTGGGCCGGCAGGGCCTGCGGCTTATCAGCGGTTTGTACGGTCGACGCAGTGAAACATGTCCGATGAGGGGCCGTCGCTTGCCGGAGGTTGCAGCCGATGGAGTGTTGGAGGTCTTGTCCCTCAATGCACAGTCGGCGTTCAGCGACCTGCTTCAGCGGCACAGACATCTGCTCTCAGCTGAGGATTGGGGCCGGGTCAGTGCTGATTTTGAAAAGGGCAAGGCCCGCACAGAACTAGAGTTTGACATCAAGCTGGATTGGGCTCATCGTTTGCCTTGGAAGCTTGCGTTGCTGGCGCACGAAGACCAAGCGCATGCTAGACGCTCTTTGGGCAGTGCCGTTGATGATTATGACAGTCAGTCGCCGCAGCTGCAGGCACAACACCATCCCCTGACCAGGCTGATACTGTCTCCGGGTCCACTGAGGTCTGATTTGAACAATTTCTTGGCGGGCACGGCTTTGTCCCAGCTGCCTCAACTTGAGTTCTATGCAGGGTGCTTCAGATTCGTGCAAGTCACGGAGAGAGTGTATGAGGCAGCACATTCCATAGTGAAGCGACGGGCTCCCCCTAATGCAGCAGCTCCACTGGTCAGTCTGTGTTTGCGGTTGCAAGATGTGGCTCGTCTGTTGAGAATAGATTCTAAGACTTTGGTCGGCATTGCTTCGCACTTTGAGAGGGCCCGTAACATGCAGGCTGCACCGGCACTTCTGGGTTTGAGCAAGCATCCTGATATCAGTAATGCATCCCGGCTGCGGAAATGGCAGGTTGTGAAAATTTTGAACAAGATACTCTACAGAGTGGACGATAGGAGCCAATTCCCGGAGGTCGCGCATTTGGACACCTGGCACAAGCGACATGTTGATAAGGAAAAGCGCCAGGCCCGGAAGCATTTGCCGGCTTTGCCAGCAGGTTCGGAGCATGTCACATATGAGAGCCTGCGTGCCCATGCTTTGCAATCCCATGCAATTGCTGTGGCCACAGACAACCCGAGCATGGTTTTTGTTCTTTCCTCAGAGGTCTTGCAGTCCAGCATGGCGGGGTTTCAGAACACTTTGGGTATGCTTCCCAGAGGACAAGGTGATAAGAGGGTGAGGGACCATGTGCCGGAGGCCGAGGGGGCCGATGAATTTGCATTTTGCGAAGACATTGCTGTGGACAACTCTGGACGTGTGGCAGGGCAGGCCAGCCAGGCCGCCGAAGTTCGTGCAGAGAGGGCTCCGACAGCGACAGAGTGGGTTTTCTTCCGGGTTCTGCATGCCAGGCCCGGGTCTCGCAAGGCCATGCCTTTGTCCATTGGGGCCGCAGGGGCAAGAGGGCGGCTCGATCAACGGTCATTTGCTGTCACCGTGCACACCGCTTTGCCCGAGCCAGAGGAATCCGATGCTGCACCTTGCGTGTCTCTAACGGCCAGCCCGGATGCTGAAGAGAACCGTGTTCGAATAATTTCAGATTTGACACAAACTTGGGACTACACTCGTCTGAAGTCTGAGTGGCGTTGTGCAAATTGTTCTTCAGCTTCCCAGCTTTATGCCTTGCAGAGTGACAGCTCTTCAGAATGTAGGCAGATAGTGACTTCCTTGGTTCAGGCTTCTGCGTTTCCTGGTGAGGACAAGTGGTTGCACCTAGATCCTGCTTTGTCCCCTGTGGCTGGGCGTCTTGAGGCCCAGGGTTTCCTGGCAAGAAGGCCTGGGTCTGGATCCGATTCTGAGGAGGCTGCACAGTACCAGTTGAGCCAGAGAGGACTTGAAGAGTTCACGGTCTTCAA